AAGTAATTGAACGCTGAACGAAATAACTGGGGAACGTCGCGCAATGTGTCACAAGCGAAACGATATATGTGAAAACGAGTACGTACTTGGTACGAGCTTGAACTAATTCTCTCAAAATTTTTACAACGATAATTATAAAAGCTGAGATTTGTTGTCATTGTGTAAGAAAAATAGTTCTCTTCCTAATAGATTTATTATCACTATGTAAGAAGTAATTCTCTTCTTAATAGATTTTCTTCTTAATAGATCTTCTTAATAGATTTATTATCACTATGTAAGAAGTAATTCTCTCCTGTAATTGTAATAAAAATTCTATGAATGCACAAACTCCAATCTGAAACAAATTGTATTTGAATAACGATCGATCGATACGTGTATGCTTTCTCAATCGATAACTTAATCTTTTACGCTGAGAAATTGCACGAAATTGATCCATAAATGTTTCATCCAACAATTCATTTCTTTATTCTTCTGTATGAAGCGCAGTTGAATTGCGACCATGAATCTTGTAAACGTGCGTGTCAAAACTTACAAAGATTTTTAAGTAATTTTCTTTAGTTCGTACGAGCATTGATAACAACAAAGCAAGGGGAAATACGATAACTTACATTACATACTATAAATTAAAATTTCATACCGGTCATCGATGAAAATAATTTATCAAGGACGAAAGAGAAAAATATCAAACAGATTTAACAATTTGAAATTTTTATATTTCGTAAAATCCTTGTAAGAATATATAAAATTTGTACAGTTACATTTGATTGATGAATCGTGAAGTAATATTAGATTAGACGATATTAGATGTAACAATATCCCAATTTCCCTAATATCCTTTTTTTTTTATCCATTATTCATTGCCATTATGTATCCATGTACACACGCAAAGGCACTGGTCGCATACCAATTATAAAAAAACACATTCTTTGGTTAGTAATGTTAGCAATGTTAATTAGCAATGTTAATTAACTGTCGTTCGTTTATCGAATATTATAATATTCGTTCGCCTTTCAATTATTAGTCAACTTAATTCATGCCTTTGTATTTCGTGAATAAATTGTACAATACTCGTAGAGTTGACTTTAGATCTAAATTTACAATATCTGTAAACAAAAAATATGCAGTTACATCTATCATTGGCTTGGATATCTCATAATTATCAGAGTTACAAACAAGTGCTAACCTTCTGGGCGAGCTTTGGGCTTTGGTAGACCAATATCTTGCATAATATCAAACGCAAACGAAACGTTATGCACCTTCTGGTCGTGTGTTTTGGGGGTCAAATGAAAACTACCTAAAGGAACAAAAAAGCCTTCGAGAAGTCCAAGCAGCAACGTTAAGAAGACTCCATCGTGAAACTGCGTATCCAAGTCTGTTACCTCCAAATGAACTTTACTCAAATGCTTATTGACGAAAGAAATCAACGACTGGAAAAATATAATTACACACTGCATTATAAACTGCGTGCAGCAATCCCCTGCAATTTAAACAAATAATAATTACTTTCTTAACTACGGCTAATTTATCAACCGCGTCATCGAAAAGACTGTCGAAAGCATCTCTTTCGCAACGCATTCCCAAATCGTCGTACGTCGATGTAATTTCCTCTCTGACCGTTCTGTGTATTAATTGGCCGTCTTTTTTACGCACGACGACTACCTGAGCGGCTACCCTTTCAGGCAATCTAACGGGCGCTCGAAATTGCCTCGCCAAACCGACCAATAAATGTAAAATCGCAACAATGTTCTTCGAATGGACAGATTCGACATTCCACTTGTAAGGAGGATAACGACCCAATACTCGATTAGCGGTTGACAGCACAACTGCCAATTTTTGTTTCTGACCTTCCTCTGATTGCGTTACTTCTGGTACATCTAATTTCTCTCCTGTCAATTTTTCTAAAATTCACACAAAAATATATCAGTCTACTTAGAGTGTATTATAAAAATTCAGTTCTACTATCATATCAGGGCAACAAAATTTTTGATTCAAATTTTGAAGACACTGTTATTTGGGTCGCAAAAATTTGTTGGTACTAC